TTTTCCCAAACAACACCCCTTAAAATAGCCCGTTTTTGGGGATGCATGCGGGAAGCTTTTTTTTTTTTTTTTTTTTTTTTTTTTTTAATGTTTTTCATTGTTTTTATTGCCTCCTTCTCGCTTGTTAGGCATTGCTGGGATGTTTGAGCCGCGCTGTTTGGTGGGGTGACCGAGAGAGAGAGAGGAAGAAAGAGAGAGAGAGAGAGAGAGTGGCCGCAGAGACCGAGAGAGGAGCCGGGAGCATGGCTCTGGCATCGCTGTCTCTTTGGGTGCTTACGAGTCTCACCTGGGGCAGCGTGCTCCAGGTGTCAGCCAACAGGCACTCCGTTTACTGGAACAGCTCCAACATACAGTAAGATCCCCGTCTTTATCCCTCTTTATCTCCCTTATTAATACTGGACGGCTCGTTTTACACTTTTAATGCATTTCCTGCCCTCTTTCTTTCTTTCTTTCTTTCTTTCTTTCTTTCTTTCTTTCTTTCTTTCTTTCTTTCTTTCTTTCTTTCTTTCTTTCTTTCTTTTTGGTATTGCATGCCCATCTATTTTTTTCCCCTCTTGATGGAAAAGGTTGCACAAGCCCGAGAAAGAAATTCAGTGGAGCTATTTTTGAATCCTGCTCTGCTAGACCCCCCGCTGTGTGGTCAAGGTGGCTCCAAAACATCTTTTCAACACCCTCTGCTCCACAGCTGCTCAGACATATTTGTACTCCTGCTCCTTGTCGTCTGCTTGTAACAGTTTGTCCCCTCCACGTTCATGCATAGAGAGAAGGAGAGAATGTGACTCCTCCATCTCCCGTCTCCTCTGTCTTACTGCCTTCTCTTCTGTGTGATTCAATTAGGAGCACTTCTTCATGCTGACCCCATTGTGTTGCAGCAGTGTCACTGTTCAATCTCTCCCTCTCCAAGTTGCCATCTCTTTCTGTTCCTCCCTAACTCCCCTTTTTCGTGTTTACACACAGAGCCTTAGTCGTTTTTTTTTATCCTCCTAATCCTTTGCTCCTCGGTTCTGTCTTGTTTTTTATCCTCTGTTTTTTTATTTAAACATTCTCCTCTTGAGTTCATGTATGGCTCTGTGCCACTGGATTTATAAGGAATGCAGCACCAGTCTGCAGTGGGATAGTAAAAGTCGTTCATGCAAATGTACATTTATATAAAAACGAGCCCATTTGGATGCAGTTTGTCTCGGAACCATCAAAGTATTTTCTTTGAATCTTGTTTGCAGATTGATTTATTGAGTTCACAAAACAATTCAATTACAAAAATTGCCTTATTCTCTCTTACTGCACTTTTTTTTTTTTTTTTTTTTTTCCTTTTTCTCACCGTGGAGTGAGTCCTGTCTTTGTGAATGGTTTCTGGTACTAGGCATCGCTCAGAATACCTTGTTCTGCAGCATCTACTATTTCCAAGGCTGAGTATTGAGAAAAACAATGATTCTGTACTATTCAGGGTACAAACATCATGTAAGGCTTGAGAAAATATGCTGTTGTTCTCAGGCGGGCGGGGGGACATAAATTATTTTTGTCCGCCGGCGCCAACTCCAAGTGTAGGCCAGCAGTTTCTAGCTTACGGCGTGAAATAAAACTATTAGAGGCGAGGGAGATTATTTCATAGCTCATAACTGGAGAGCTGTAAGTAGTGGATAAAGTAACAGAAGTGGAAACCACTAAGGTGTTAGTTTGTGACGTGTTACTGGAAGCCTAATTGCAGGAAAATGCTGCACACTTAGTGCTCAAGTGTTTTAGCTTAAATTTTCTTGCTTTTCTCCTCGTAATTTAACATCTCCCCCAACTCCCTTACTTTGAGCTATAATTTTGGTAATAAATGCAAATGAAATTCCACCTTCAGTTTTTTTTATATCTGAGACAGAAGTTGTTTTTTGCAAGGGTTTGCTTAAAGGCCTAAAGAAAAAGCAAAGGAGTGGACGATCACACAATCAGCAAGGCGCAACTCGAGCAGCGCTAACCTTGACAAAGCGTGCTTTTAGTTCTGTCATTCGTCCGTTGATCTCTGCTGCACATTCGCAGCCAGAAGATGTATTTTCTTTCCAAGACAAAGAAATAAAAAGAATACGGCGCATGCCTAACCTTTAACCTGAAGCTCTTGGACCCGAGTTCTGCAAAGCCCAGCAGTTTTTTTTTTTTTTCCCCCTCCCTTCCTACCGCTACCGTTTTCATCCCAAAGGCAGAATATTCTTAGCTGCTGCAGTGTGAGTGTCTTTCACAAAGAAAAAAAAGAAAAGAAGAGGTGGTTAATTAAAGAACATTCTGATCTCTGTGGACCTGTCTCATCCTTGATCCTAACATCGCAGCCTTTTCTTTTCCTGTTCTCTCTGTGCTCAGACACCATGACAGCGGCCTGAGCAGTAAGAAGCAATAACTTTGTTTTCAGAGATGCACCGATCAATCGGTTGGAGGTTGAAGCCTGACAATTTATTCCCGATCAGCTCTGATTGGTGATTGGCAAATCAAATGCTGAGAATTTTTTTTTGTTCTTTTTCAAATAATGCACTGATGCCAAAAACATAATTTTTGGTTTTGGAATGAATCGACAAACAATGAGGATTTTATTACACATTTTAGGATGTAATAAAATGCAGGTTAAGAAGGTGTGCTTTGATGCATGAATTGAGATAATGTTGTAAATCCATCATTCTCTGTTAGATTCAAAATTTCATGTCTGAAAAGCACAATGCAAAATTGTCCTTAGTGTGTCGTTTGAGAAAAAAAACAAAACAAAAAAAAACAAAAAACAGAATCGACCCATTTCCCCTTGATTGACTGTGATTGGTGATTATCAGGACAAACATTTTTTTCTGATTGGTTAAATGCATTAGCAACTGAAAACTCCCACTATTTGTATTTTATACATTTATCAATAAGATTGTTTTTCAGTTTAATAAAAAAATAAAAAAATTCAAAGGCTTGTATATATCGAGAACAATAATCTCTCTTCTATCTGTTAAGTGGTTTAGTCATAGACACTCAAAACCAAGGCTGATTGTAAACTACCTGCTGCCAAACTAACTACAGTACTTTTCTGCTATTATTCACGCTATTATTATTTTTTCTATTTTATTACTTTAAAATGTTCTATCTATCTATCTATCTATCTATCTATCTATCTATCTATCTATCTATCTATCTATCTATCTATCTATCTATCTATCTATCTATCAGGAAATTCCTTCATTTTCTGTTGGACTTAAAACAGCAATAAAAAAGAAAACACACTCCAGAAGGGCAAAAATATTCAGTTCCTTTTATTCAGACTCCAACATGCATTTTGGGGAAAAGTAAATAAGTATCAGTAGGGTCACTCGTCCCACCAGTACAATTGCTTCCCTCAAGGGGACGCACCACACTTTGAGAATCTTTGCTGGACAGACAAGAAAAAAAGTCTTGAATCAGAAGGTCAGACTCAAAGAAAACCAAAAATCTGTATCCTGCCTGATGAATGCATCTCCAACACCCAAGCATACCATTCTTAGTTAATTTGCAGGCAAAGAGCCACTGATGCCTGCATGCAAAATACTAAAGAAAAAAAAAAACCTGTCCAATCGCCTCTTGTGTACAGCAGAAATATGTGTTTTTTTTATTTTTTTTTCTGTTTCCACCATTTATTTTAATCTCTGCCAATAGTTACAGGCTTGGCTGGCATGCCTTCTAGCCACTGGCGGTCAGCCTCCCTGGAGTTCCTCTAACTCGCAGCGTAGTGCGGAGGCTTGCAAGGCCAATAATAAGCTGTACTATTGCTGTCAGTTTGAGTGGTAAACACATTGTAAAGCCTCGGGATGCTGCAGCTTCCCGAGCAGCTCCCAACCTCGGGCCACTCATCAACCACAAGAAACGGGCTAGCAAGGATTAACAGCCTCATGCACTGACACATGCAAACAGATGCACGGAGCTTGGGAAATTCCAACAAGTTTGCACACACATTTCTGGAGGTTTCTCCCTTATTAAGGCATAAAAGTGTCTTCAGATGCGTGTTTTTTTATGTGCGGGAGTAAGTGTTTGCTCTGCTACAGATGTCTCTGTTCACTGATGGGTGACGGAAACAGAGACGAATCCATCAGTCCGTTAAATCACACATTATCTTCCACCACCTGGCAATTAACCACCGCTGTGAGCAACCGTATACATGTGTACGAGTGTAATTCAATAACACAGCCGTTAACTTGATTAGCGATATCTCTCAATTTATCAGTTGCATATTTTACAAGCGATTACGTCCTGTGGTTTTGTTGTTGTTGTTGTTGTTGTTGTTTCTGCTCATATCGCGCTCAGGCGTTCGTCCATGACGGTGTCACCTCTAAGGCAGGTCGTTGAAACGTGGCCCAGCTGTCGCTCGCGGCGTTTTTCCATCGTAATATCGAGCTTCCATATGTTTAGTAATTGATCTCGAGCTGGAAATTGTTTTATGTTCATGCCGCTCATTGAAGAGAGTGAGGAGAGTCGCATAGGCTGGGAGGGAAACAGTACCAGAGGGAGTGATGCTGCGAGAGGACAGAGGAGGAAAGTCCAGCAGGGTGCAGATGAATTTTGAGCTGAATGACGAAAGAAAAAGGGGGCAAAGGGTCAACGCAATAATAGTAATAATGCTCAGCTCTGGTCAGGTCAGATGTTTTTTTTTTTTTTTTTCTGTGTGTGTTTTGCAGGAGAGAGAGAGAGGCCTGACGTTCTACCCCCCTAGCATATCATCAAACCCAGTTGTATCCCAGATCCACTTAAGACCAAAGTATGTCTGCTCAAAGAAAGCTTTAATCCGAGAGCTCCACCTGCATGCCTCGCGTAAGGAAAGCCGCACCATCCGTCCTAATCACATGACACGAGGATCAGATAATTCATTAGTGAAGAATAATAAGGCCGTGCCGCGTACATGGGTGAATGGATCCGGGTTGCCGGGTGTGAAGATGTGCGTGCAGATGCTCTGCACTGAGGCCTCATTAATTAAAAGCAATAGGGTACTCCTGCGTGATGGATCACTGGTGTTTGCATAATATGATTCAATGTTGTTGGCTCTCCCATGCTGCTGCAAGTCTCTTTGTGGAAGTAAATAATATTTTTTTTTTCTTTTTTCTGATTGGGAAGGTTTTTTGTCTTGTAAGTGAGCCAAGGAATACGGGACATGCATGCTAAAAGGGAGCAGGGGGGGGGGGGGATTTCTGTCGCACCTCATTAATAAGTTGGATTTTTTTAGGACTGTGCTCAGGTTCCTCTCACATGAAGCCCTCTCTGTGGGAGGTGGTGCTTTGTGGGGTACCTTAATGGGAAACTGTCAAATTAGGTTGGTCTGACTTTCCCCACTACTTTAAAATGTGTTTCCTTGCTTTGAGATCTTGTTTTTCTTTTCTACGG